GGTGGGGGGAAGGGGGTGTTGTGAAGTAAAATACGAATATGCTTTGCTCCAAGAGCGCAAATTCACATTTGCTCTCTCATAGCCCTTAATCTCTTAACAATCATATCTACTGGCAAATAGTTATCAAGACAATTTGGAACATTTAGGCAAATTTTGATGAGCAGAGATTTGGAGTCTATTGGAGCTTACTGATAATTGTATTACACAATCCAACCCTAAAGTATTTGATGCGAGAGGAAAGCTAATTTTGCCAATTGCATGAAATTAAAGCATAGGTCTTTGCGAAACTTCCATCCTAACTTTAGTAGGAATATTATTACTTTCACTCAATATGGAAGTAATTCATTAAGTTAAAATGTGATTTCCAATTTTAACCATAGCTGCTTCTACAATATAGTCATTGTACATAATATTCATTTTCGAGGAAACTTGACTCGACTTGTCTCCAAAGTATATTGTGGAATAAAAAAAGTAATTGATGCTAAAGTGGCTTCTTTCGTATAATTGAGATCCGAGGTCAATTCTACGGCCGGTCGACTGCAGGGGTGATTAGATAACTGTCAAGACGATCAGGTCATTAGGCAACCGTGAGATAGTAGCGAGGTCAGGACCTGAATTCATCAGTTAGGCCTTAATTACATTCAATATTTTGACAATGCTTAGGTTTCTGATCATAACCCTATTGCAAAATGGCCAGTAAATTCGTTAACTTAAATCCGCTGCAACCAATTATAATTGGTGATTCAAATTGATATCCACAAAAAATGATAAAAACGCCTAATTAGCTACCAGATATTCTAAAAGAAAACCCTTGAAGAGTAATACCAAAGTTCATCAGAGATATACAGTCTCATCTGTATGCTGGTGTCTTCAAAATATCTAAAAACCACATAAATGTGTCTGTTGGAAACGATCTGGTCGATGAATATAACCTGCAGAACTACATTCTACAATTCACAGATGGAAAAGAAATCAAATCAGTTGGGAAGCGCATTATAATACAGAAAACGCCATATAATTACGTTTTGCAGATCTTTCACATTTCAATGTGCTCGAATTTGAATGGTACGCATGCTTTTGTTCAGTCCCTTTCCTTGATCGGATATAAAATCAAATGGAAGTCTTGATTCATGTACAGGAAGTGACGAGAATAGACAGTAAATTCACTCAGGCTCAAGGGTACCTCATTAATTTTAGTTTCCCATATTAGTCACAAAACACGTATACTTGGCTTATATGATAGCATTGTAGTTAGTGATTTAAATCTTACTAAATAATAAAAAAAGATGAGTGAGTTGAATGTGCAATATGGCTGTAAAAGCATTTGGGCGATGACAGGAACCTTTAATACATTGCATCGCTCGTATTCTTAGTATTTATGATAAGCGAAATTTTCTTAAATCTTGATCAATCGACTCTAAATATTTTTAAATATTCAACTTTCTGATCTAAAGTGTGGTAGAAACTTACTGACACAGGGCTGATTGTTTGAAATGCCCCAGTACCCGGCGGCACATCGATCGCATTTGTCGCCTTCAACACCCCAGTGACATCGGCAGCGTCCCCTGCTGTCACAGAATTGGTCCCGAGATCCGATCGGATCACATCCACACCCGTTTTCTCTCACTTGATCTGTTTAAACAAGTTATGGGTGTAATAAATCACTAATTCCTATTAAAAGAGAGGCTTTATTTTTTAAAATCTTCAAATCGATACATGAAGGTTCTAATAATCAAGTTCCTTTCCAACTTTGCGAACAATGGATTCGGTCACAAATTAATTGAATTCAGAAATAAGTGAAAGAAGGCACTGATCTTGAAAATAGCTAGCCCAATCGATAATAGTTAGAAAACCGTAAACCCGAGTGTGTTCATTAAATAGAGAAATTCGGTAAACAGTTTAGAGCCTTGGGAACCCGTTATGTGCAGAAGTTAAAATGGTAGGAGCATCACCAATTAAAGGCGAGTTGGTCACTAAATGTTACTAATTTTTTTCCAATTATCTAGGTTTTAGACAAGTTTGAATTTGACAAATTCACTTTTCTATTACTCAAAGGTCGCATGCTAGTTATCTCTTAATATTGCAATTTATCTGAAGTATTTTGTGGTTACTATTTGATTTGAAATAAAATCCTGACTCCACAAGCATTTCCAAAGTACCTGCTTGGAAATCACTTCTCTTTGTTACATTTGCGAGGAATGTAGGTCTTCGACAAGCTATTCCAGATCCATCCACTTTGACAGTGACTTTATTAATGCAAGCCTGACGTCGAAGCTCGCAAAAACTTGGGTAGAGACGTCCATCGGTTCCACAGACTTCTCCGAACAGACCGCGTTTGGGGCAGTTTTCTCGGCAAACGCATTGTCCTCCTTTACATTCCATTCCCAGTGGGCAGGCCTTAGAGCATGTAGCTGAAAAGAAAGTATAAAAGAGGCTTGAAACAAATCAGTTTCAAAAGCTAAATGCTCTATCGGTGTTAGGATTGGAAACACAACGCTCCCAACAATTATTATACTCTTGCAAGGTGTACACCCTCTTTCGTTAAACTTCATTCTTCAATAATTATAAATCAAATAAACTATAAATTAAAGCACGCCACAATTGTCTAAAAGATGGACAAAAATGGAAAAGGCAACAGAGCTTCTCAAGGTGGCAATATTTCGACTTTACTCACCCTTTTCTTCCATTTAATCTAAATAGCACTTCAATTAATTTTAATTCAGTCATAAACAGCTCTTCATATTTGGAATGTTTTTTGATTTCGCTAGCAAGATCCAAAAGTAAAGCCATCAACAAATTTTCTGATAATGAATTTACATCCAGCTCCCAGAGATTGCTAAAGTTTAAAAAATCGATATACATTTTCGATTAAGATTGAACGCCGCATAAGTCGTACGTTGTATTAGCAGAAACAGGCATATGCAGGCATATTTCACTCCGGACAATAGTCACAGTTTTGGCCGGCCAACCTGTCATTAGTCAAGCGGTAAGTTGGCCTTCAACTGTCAATTTAATGAAGCGAAATCGCAATTAAAATAGAAATTGAAATAAAGGTGGATGACGCGTTTTGCCTTCGTGAGATATGAATATTACACTCGTTAAGACATCAATAATAATATAAATTTATAAAAGTGCAAAACCAACTTACCACAAGGCTTATTGTCGATCACTCTTATATCCTTTTGAATTGAACAAGCATAGACTTTCAGTAGGCACTCATTGTCATATGTTCTACCGTCAGATCCACAAACGGGCATATTTTCCTAAAAATAATAAGTAAGCATGAAAAAAAATGGCATGCCCATCGGAACACTGCTGATTAGACTGGAAGAACGGAAGACGTACAAGCCTGGAGACGGCAGTCAGTTGTCCTAAGGCAAGCCATCTTACAAGCTATTGGGTTGGCAACTAAGTCATTGCCGTTTTTGTTGACGGATTCACTCTATACTTTCTTTTGTTTTGTTAACGTGGCCAGAGCATCTAACCTATATTTTTTCTTACTGTATGAGCTTCTAGGTTAATTAGTAAAAATTTTTTTTGTTTAGTTCTTTAGTTTTGTTTTTATCCCAATTTAAAAATGAAAGAACAGGACGTGCACTTCCAACACATTTTATTGTATTACTTCCGAAAAGGTAAGAACGCATCGCAAGCACAAAAGAAGTTATGTGCCGTATATGGAGATGAAGCCTTAAAAGAAAGGCAGTGTCGAAATTGGTTTGACAGATTTCATTCCAGTGATTTTTCACTGAAAAATTCACAACGATCTGGCCGCCCAGTCGAAGTGGATGAAACCCATATCAAGGCCATTATCGATTCAAATCGTCACAGCACAACACGAGATATTGCAGAGAAGCTGCTCAATGTGTCGCATACATGCATTGAAAAAAATTAAAACCCTTTGGTTATGTCAAGAAACTTGATTTATGGATCCCTCACCAGTTAAAGGAAATTCATTTGACGCAACGGATTAGCATCTGTGATTCGCCGCTACCGAAACACAATGAGAATGATCCATTTCTGAAGAACCTAGTTACTGGCGACGAAAAGCGGATAGTTTATAACAATGTTACTTGCAAGAGATCATGGGTGAAGCAAGATCAACCAGCCCAAACAGTATCAAAAGCAGAGATTCACCAAAAAAGATTATGCTNTAAATTCAAATGTGTATGTTGAACAACTCGAAAAACTGAAAGAAGGATGCAATTGAAGATAAGCGGCCTGCATTATCAAATCGGAAGGGTGTTGTTTTTCTTCATGATAACGCAAGGCCCCACACAGGTTTGGTTACTCGGCAAAAATTATTGGAACTGGGTTGGGATGTTTGGTCACACCCACCATATAGCCCTGACCTTGCGCCTTCGGATTACCATTTGTTTCGTTCCATGCAAAACTCTTTAAATGGTAACATTTTTAACAACGCGGATGATGTCGGATCACACCTAATTCAGTTTTTTAATAGCAAAGACCAGACATTTTACGAACGGGGAATTTTTACTCTGCCAGAACGATGGAAAAAGGTCATCGACAAGAACGGCCAATATCTAATTGAATAAAGTTATATTTTTAAACAAAAATTCCGAATTTGCCTTCTTATTTGAAATTGGCAATGACTTAGTTGCCAACCTAATAAACGGACCTCCTTCGACAACTTCATCCCAAACAT